GGATCGATTCTATTTTTGCCGGACGCCGGAACAGAGGGCGGCGCCGCACTGCCGGAGCACGGCCGCAGTAGTGGAATAGCTCTGATTGACTACAACGGGACCGATTTTGCTCCGGCGTTCGTGTCGGAGCGGAGCGCAGCGGAGCGGAGGTAGTGGAATTTGGGGGTTAACCCTTCTTGTCTGCTGGTGGTGGTCGGAGGGACCGGTGGCACCGGTGCTCGGCAGCCTCGCCTCTGTCTGTGCGCCCCAGGACAGCTGTAGCTACATTGTAGCTCAACCCCACCAGCGTGTGAATGTGTGTGTGAATGGGTAAATGACTGTGTTGTGAAGCGCCTTGGGGGGTTGTACAACTCTAAGAAGGCACCATACAAATACAGGCCATTTACCATTTAAATGGACTGCGTACCAATGTGATTGACTACGACTTGATATTAAGCCAGATGGTGACGAGGGACATTCTGATGTTGATGTTGAGAAAGGTTACCGTCGGCTAGATCCCCACTCCAGGACAGGAGGTAGAACAGCATACCACCTAGAAATTGGTGGGAAGAGAGGTTTGCTTGAGGTCAAATATTTGAGTTGCAATGGCCCGAAGCTGCGTTGCTATGCACCAGACATGACAGAAAAAAAACACTGTCTCATTTGTCAAGCTTAGTAACATTATTGAGAAAAGGTTTAGAGTATTTAGAGCAATTACCTTAAGAGCTATTGAAATAAATCAATAAATTTTAGATAATCCTAAAAAAATGATCAGAGCCTTTGAAATGTGATAACTGCTGTGTCTCATGGGTCTACATTAGTAACATTTTTGACAAATGCTTTTGGGTATTAAAATCAACTAACCTAGGAGCTATTGAAAGAAATTACTGAATAACTGATGAAAATCCTAAAAGATAAAGATCTAATCTTGTGAAATGTGAAAAACAGCTGCGTCTCACTGGGCTAGCTTCGTAAAACCAAATGGTTTTGGGTATTGAATTTAATTAACCTTTGAGCTATTGAAAGAAATCACTGAATGTTTGATAAAAATCATAATAAAAATATCAGATCGTGAAAAATGTGGAAAAAAAAACAAAATAAAACAGCTGTGTCTCATTAGGTTAGCTTAGTAAAACCATTGAGAAATGGTTATAGGTATTTAGACTGATTTATCCAGGAGCTATTGAGAAGAATCCCATAATTTTGAATAAAAATCTTAATAAAAAAGATCAGATCTTGTGAAATGTGAAATAAACTGCTGTCCCATTGGTCTAGCTTAGTAAAATCATTGAGAAGTGGTTTTGGGTTTTAAAATTGATTAAGCTTGGAGCTACTGAAAGAAATCACCAAATGTTTGATAAAAGTCATAATAAAAAACATTCGATCTTGAAAAATGTGGAAAAAAAAAACTGCTGTGTCTCCTTGGTCTAGCTTAGTAAAACTACTGAGAAATTGTTTTGGGTATTAAAATTAATTACCCATGGAGCAATTCAATTAAATAACAGATTTTTTGATAAAAAGTGTAATAAAAAGATCACATCTTGTGAAAAGTGAAAAGAACTGCTGTGTCTCATTGACCAAGCTTAGTACCGTAATTGAGAATTGGTTTTGGGTATTAAAATTAATTAACAGAGGAGCCACTGAAAGAAATCACTGAATTTTTGATGAAAATCCTAATAAAAAGATAATATCTTGTGAAATGTGGAAAAAAAAACTTCTGTGTCTATTTGGTCTGATTTTGCAACATCATTGAGAAATGTTTTAGCTATTTAGACTGATTTACCCACAAGCTATTGAAAGAAATACCTTCATTTTTGATCAAAATCTTAATAAAAAGATCAGATCTTCTAAAATATGAAAGAAAAAAAAACTGCTGTGTCTCATTGGCATCGACTTTGTAACATACACTCACGTAAAGGATTATCAAGAACACCATACTAATACGGTGTTTGACCCCCTTTCTTCTTCAGAACTGCCTTAATTCTACGTGGCGTTGATCCAACAAGGTGCTGAAAGCATCCTTTAGAAATGTTGGCCATATTGATGGGATAGCATCTTGCAGCTGATGGAGATGTGTGGGATGCACATCCAGGGCACAAAGCTCCCGTTCCACCACATCCCAAAGATGCTCTATCGGGTTGAGATCTGGTGACTGTGGGGGGGCGTTGTAGTACTGTGAACTCATCGTCATGTTCAAGAAACCAGTTTGAAATGATTGGAGCTTTATGACATGGTGAATGCTGGAAGTAGCCATTAGAGGATGGGTACATGGTGGTCATGAAGGGATGGACATGGTCAGAAACAATGCTCGGGTAGCCTGTGGCATTTAAACCATGCCCAATTGGCACTAGGGTGGCTAAAGTGTGCCAAGAACACATCCCCACACCATTACACCACCAGCCTGCACAGTGGTAACAAGGCATGATGGATCCAAGTTCTCATTCTGTTTACGCCAAATTCTGACTCTACCATTTGAATGTCTCAACAGAAATCGAGACTCATCAGACCAGGCAACATTTTTCCAGTCTTCAACTGTCCAATGTTGGTGAGCTGGTGCAAACTGTAGCCTCTTTTTCCTACTTGTAGTGGAGATGAGTGGTACCCGGTGGGGTTTTCTGCTGTTGTAGCCCATCCACCTCAAGGTTGTGCGTGTTGTGGCTTCACAAATGCTTTGCTGCATTCCTCGGTTGTAACGAGTGGCTATTTCAGTCAAAGTTGCTCTTCTATCAGCTTGAATCAGTCGGCCCATTCACCTCTGACCTCTAGCATCAACAAGGCATTTTCACCCACAGGATGTTTTTCCCTTTTCACACCATTCTTTGTAAACCTAGAAATGGTTGTGGGTGAAAATCCCAGTAACTGAGCAGACCGGCCCGTCTGACACCAACAACCACTCCACGCTCAAAATAGCTTAAATCACCTTTCTTTCCCATTCTGACCTTCAGTTTGGAGTTCAGGAGATGGCCTTGGCCAGGACCACACCCCAAATGCATTGAAGCAGCTGCCATGTGATTGGTTGATTAGATAATTGCATTAAGGAGTAGTTGAACAGGTGTTCCTAATAAACCTTTAGGTGAGTGTAATTGAGAAATGGTTTTGGGTTTTGAAAATCAATTAACCTAGGAGCTACTGAAAGAAATCACTGAACTGATGATAAAATGATGTGAGCGACCTGACTGCTCACACCATACATCTGGTTGCAACACGTCGGACCAAACAATATGCTAAATATTGCCATTTTTACACAACACGTAGACTTGTTTTGTGCTGTTACTGATGTCTGTTGTCCTTTGAGAGTGCTGCAGGAGGACACACAGGGATTTATAGGAGTTGGGGGAGGAAAATGAAAGAAAGTAAATCAAGTGTTTTCCGATCAGTTTAATTTGACATGAATATGACAAACACCATTTTTTGACAATCTGTCATTTTGTGTGTAAAAAAACGTGTCGAAATAAAAGCGAACAATGTGTGCTAGTAGGGAAATAGCTGGCGAGCGGTGTTGACGCATGATTGCTCATGTGCCGTGAGCGGTTCTGGTACTTTTTCGGTCGCAGTCGCTCACGGTGCCTCTTCAACCCTCACGAGGGACGAGCCCATTTTCGTGCGAGCTCATGATTGCTGATCAGCAGCTGGTCACATGGTGTTAATTGCCTCTCGTAACCCCCTGTATACTACATGAAGCCCAGTGCAAAACTCACATCGATCTTGTGGATTCTTGCACGAGTGGAAAATCGGCCCAAAAAAGTGAAGTCGTCGCACAGGGTATGCCCGGCTTAACTCTTGATCCCAACCTTTGGACCATTTCCGCCCTTTACAATGGTTTCTGTCTTCGCTGGTTTCTCCATTTTCCTCCACAGCACCTAGATGACCACAATGTGCTCCACTGAAAACTATTCAGACTGTGGAGCACACATTTAATGAAACTGACCTATAAAATTGGATCAAGGAATTTATTGATTTGAACCATTTGATGCTTTGTTTCTGCCCTAATGCTATGATATGTACTTTGTTTGTCAGTTGAATGTGACTCAGCGTATTAAAGCAGCTGAAAACTCATTTGTTCATTCTGGCTATTTGCGTGACCTTCACCACCACCCTCTCATTATTCTGCTCCTTCTACCAGTTCCGCTTTTCCGGGATCCACGGTTTTCCCTTTCTTTGCATTTTTTAAGGACATTTAAATATTTTTTTCAATTTTCATTTTAATTTATTTAAATTAATTGTAATCATATTTATTAACCTTTTTTCTATGCTTTGAATTTGTGTTTGTGTAATTTTTATCTTGAGATACGCTACATAAAAGATGTTTCTTCCCTTCTGGCTAACGTGTCTCTTAATTTAACCTGCCTGTTTCGTAGTCTGGGTGAAGGACTGGGTCACTGTACTGTTTAATCATACCACAATGTTATCATTTCTATTACAGTGAGAGTTTTGCTCCTTGTATTGCTGATAAACTGTATACGTGCGTGTCTAACAGTGCTGCAGACATGTGCAGTCATGATTTAGACATTTCAATTCATGTTATTTTAAATATAATTAATCTGCCTAAAACCAACAGTGCAGCACCCTATTCAGCTTAAACTCTTCACTACGTTTGAATTTGAATTAGCCATCGCTATTGGCTACACAGTACGGTGTAATGTCTGCTGTACTGCCCCTGTGGGGTATAAAACCTGTCTGGGAAAACTCACGAGCCAGTATTAAACTATAGACCCTTTTACTACCTACGTCATCAAAAGCTGCGCGTGCATTCTCGCTGACGTCTTATTGTTTACAAACAGTAAAAGGGTCTTCATGGCTCAGGGTTGCTCACCTCCTCTAAACTAGGAAGCCTACTGTTGTTCCTGCATCCGAGCAGGGTTCGTGTGTTTGTTAGTGATTTCATTCTCTGATGGAAAATCTCCGAAGAGCGGGAGGCAACCTCAACCTAGCTGCAACTCAGAGCAGCTTTTATGTTTCCATAAGTGGCTACACATGAGAACCGCCTAGATAAGTTGTGAGGTGAACGCTGGTGCCCCTACCGAAAGCCTTGTCCTCTCCAGCCTTAGCATCTCCTCTGTGGTCCAGCTCTGCATCTCCCAGGTCACTAGGACTGTCTTCTCTCCCTGGGGTTTCTCCTCTCTTCTCTCCAGAGCAGCACAAGTCTAAATGAAAGCCTGCAACCTCCTCCTGAGATGACACAGGTACACAGACGTAAACAAGGTAATTAGACGTTGTTCACCGTCACACAAAAGTCGAAGTGATGAAGGCTGCTACCAAATGGAGCTTTCACAATAAAACCTGGAACATTCAGAGAATGTCTTGGTACTGAGAGTGAGTCCAGTGGAACACGGGGGGAAATCCCAGATGTCTAAAATAGTTGACAACAGATCCTGGGTCAGTCAGGAGGCTACAAAAAAACCACAGCTTTGACGATCATGTTATCACATTGTTTTAAATCACAATTTTGGTCTAAAACAATGGATCGTTCAGCCCTAATGTACACAATAAATGTAAATAAATGGTACAGACTTCAGTTCTGAAGAGGTTCACTATTTGGGCTGCACGATGTTAGAAAACCTGCGACGCGCGACAACAGTGATTATATATGTATTATATGCCGATGACAATATTACTTAGATAATAATACATAAAAACTTAAACGAAAAACTAAAACTAAAACATGGCCGAAGAATGGCATAAACATGGGGAAAGTACAGCTGGCAAAAAGAGCAGAATTAAGCTAACTTTATTTGCTAGCCATCCAAATTAAGTGCCACCTGCCTAGGAGGCGGGCAACTAACCTATAAGAGCCCACCTGATTGGCCAAAAGGGTGAAGAGCTCTATTTGATTTGGCAAAAACTTCATGTTTCCGTCTGACTGACAAAATGCTTTATGTGTAGCAACACTTGTGGGTTGTTGTTCTTAGTGATGTGCATACTGCGCATGCAGACACTGCAATGACGATACATTTGCGATATATTGTGCAGCCCTATTCACCACCCGTCTATGTCAGCTTTGCCATCAGTGTCCACATTGATCTGCACGTCGCCCGAATCTTGAGCCGTGCATTAACCTCGTAGGCTAACCAGTGTCCCGACACCGGCTGTGGCTCTATAGGCTGACACAGCACCATCGCCCCGGCTCTCCGATACCGGTTCTCCTCACAGTAATCCAGAGAAAAAATATCTGACCTACTAGCTACATCTGACTGATGAAAGCGACACGACGCGATCCCAGAAAGTTGAAATATTTTCAACTATTCATCGCTGTCGCTCGGACGAGGACCAATCAGGATCAAGACAGGATGCTCCGTACATCTCCGAGCGAACATGGACTTCTGTGACTGTGTTCATCTTACTGTGAGGTCCAAACCGTGTGAAAACTTGAAGCATGTCCTGATAGACAGAGTAGTCCTCTCCTGGTTTGTAATATGGGATGAACCCATTCTCGGGTTTTGTTTTATATAGTAAAATCAGAAGTACGATTTCACACAACTCTAGCAGCACCTTCTGAAACATCATTACCGCTTTTTTAACTCTGAACCGCTTAAATAACCTTAATTCTCTCCAACCTGACACCGCCAATCAAAACAATGGAAGATTGGATTTCGCCATGGAACAGAACGCGTCGACACGCGGGTCGCCTCCCGTGTGTCAGGTAATAAAAGCGACAGCGAAGTATTTCACTGATCGTGGTCGTTTGTCGCCTCCTGTGTGTCGAGCCCATTAGACCAGAAACAATGCTGTTTTTGCTGCGCTAGTCAAAAGCATCAGATGTTGTTATAATGCAGCTGTGAAAATCCAAAAACCTTCTACATCAGAGGTTTTAATACTTTTACACATGCCATTGAAAGCAAATTAGGCCATATTCTTTCCGGATGGAGTCTTGGTCAGACTAACCTTACACATGTTTTTGACTTGCCCTGTTTCACCAACATTCTGGGACTTGAACTCAATCTCAGCTATCACCCCTTTACCTGCCCTGTTGGGTTTCTTGCCCGCTGATTAGGCTGCCTTCCTTACACTGGTGGCCAGAAGAATCATCCCCCCAGTGGATTAAAGGCATTATTGTATAAAACTGGAAAAGATTTAAGGTTGGTTTATGCTTAACGCGTCCGCGAGGTCCGCACAGCTCCGCGTGGCGAAATTGCGTCATTTTAACAACCACGCCCCTCCACCGCGCCTCCGCACGGCCCAAAATTTCCGCACCGCGCACCTAGGAAATTTTCTAACCACGCGGACGGTCGGACGTGGAAAAACATGGCGGACTGGCAAGAACTAGTATGGCAGAGGTTGGTAAATACAGACATTTGTATGATTCAGCTCTCAGAGATCACCGTGATCAACATGGTGTTAATAATTCTTGGAGAGAAATAGCTCGCACTGTCGGAAAAGACGAGGACGCTGTTAAAAATGCTGGAATGCCATGTTGTAAACAGTAATTTCTACTTCTAACTCCATGCTGTAGTTCTTTCTTAAAACCCAGAACAGTTTTGTTACCTGTTTTCCCGCTACGTTTCGTCTGCAAACTTCCACCTTCCTTGGATGAAGTTTGCAGCCGCAGACGAAACGTAGCGGGAAAACAGGTAACAAAACTGTTCTGGGTTTTAAGAAAGAACAACAGCATGGGATTAGAAATAAGACACAGCAAGAACACACCTAAGAATTTCTACTTCTACTATGGTGTAGTGTTGGATGCATGCTGTAGAGCTCCATGCTGCCCCCTACAGTTTGGGAGAATATTGGCTCACCGCAGAGACGAGCCGCATGAACCATAAACGCTGCGAGTTGTGAAGCGCGTTCCATCCACGAGCCGCATCACCAAGTGGAAAGTGAATGTGTCAAGCATAAACCAAGCTTAAGTACCATCTTAGAGGCTTGGACTCTGACTTTCACAGAATATTGCTACCATTTGTAAATTATGTGGAAACTCTGAAATTGGATGTGGCCTCTGATACCTGTATGTTGTTTGTGGCTTCTATGTATGCTCCTCCTTAACCAACTCTATGTGTGATGCTCTCACTGTCATTAATGTAGGGCCTCCATAAACTCCAAATACCACTCATGTAAAAACATTCACACACATGAATTTACCTGACATGGGCTGTCCAGGTCAGGGGGATCATTGCTGCCACTCACAATCCTCCTGTTGGGCAGCTCCAGCTCACACACGCCTGTCGTTTCCATTAGCACTCAAAATCTGGAAAACAAAGGGAACCACATAAATCAAATATGACTACAGCTCAGAAGAATTAGATTATAAATGAACGTGTCAAAACACATCTGTGTTCCAGTAACAAGCACTCCATTTTCACTTTCCATCAGAGGTGGCAGCGGCAGGGTCTGCCCTGTAGCCATGGAAACACTATTTGTGGTGCGGTGTGTGTGTGTGTGTGTGTGTGTGTGTGTGTGTGTGTGTGTGTGTGTGTGTGTGCGCTGTCTTCTCGATCCCCAGTGAGTCGTGGAGGATGGCTGCTTATACTGAGCCAGGATCCTCTGGAGGCTTCTTCCTGTTAAAAGGGAGTTTTCCTCTCCACTGTCGCTGCATGCTTGCTTAGTATGAGGATTGCTGTAAAGACTCTGACGCTAGTCAGTGACTTGATGCAACCTCAGGGTTTCTCTTACATAGGCGTAGCCAGGGTCCGAAATTAAATTTTTTACTCACCGGCCAAGTTGGCTGGTAGATGATGAAAATCTACCGGCCAAGCATATTTTTTACCGGCCAAAATTCTAAATGATTTAGATCTACCTAAAGCATGTAATTCTATATTATGTTGATTCCAAACAGAGTGACAAAATAATTAAAACATCAATTAATAAGAAAAACAACTCTTTTGTCATTTTTACTATTTATTTATTTTTAGAGATGTTTTTATGAACTCTTTCATTGAAATCTAGTCAGACTCCTTGTTTTCTCTGTCCATGAAGTCTGGCCTCCTGCTTCTGACACCGTCTTTGTGCCAAAGCATTACAGCCTCATTTGGGTCATAGTCCTTGATCTCTGGAGAACACAGCTGCACCATGAGAATATCTGAAAGTGTGTCAGGGCTAGGGTTGTCACGGTAACCGGTGTAGCAGTAAACCCCGGTAAAAAAAAAAAGTTGACAATAATAATAACAGTCTTGTTTAAAAAAAATATCTCGGTGGATTACCGTGGCTGCGGTGTAGGCGCGGTGACCCTTACCAGCCACCGTATCATCTGCTGAAGTTGCCGGTGGCACATGCGCACTTTGTTGTTTACGACCAAAACTTTCTTTAAGCTAAAGCTGAAATAATGGCAGGAGGAGACGGCAGCACTCGGGACATTTATTATCCCTCAAAGAAGACAAAGTCGGAAGTACGGGCATTTTTTTTTTTGATATTTGAAGAATGCCGAGGGCCAGTTGATAGAAGACGGCTATCCTGTTTGCAGCACGAGCAGAAAAAGTGTCTGTGAAAGGCAGCAACGCTACGTGGCCATCATAATGTAGCCAGTGTCTCATTACTCCGCCACCTCCAGTTCGCCACTTTTCACAAAATCTTCTGGTTGCCACTGGTCCTGGTGGTTTTTCTTCCAGTTCGACGAGTTTTCTTTTGGAAGGCTGGCTGACTCCAGTTAAAAACCGCCACATTTCACCGCTAGTTTTAACACAAAGCTAACTGCTAACTTGATAAACTGATTGAATGGGATAGGTGGAAATGACGTTGGATGCGGCACTCACGTTTCGCGTACATTTGTGTACGTTCCAAGCAGGCAGGAGGAGTATCAGAAATCCATGGAAGATGACTGATAAACATAACTAATTTGGTGCAAACATTTACTCGCCAGGTGGCAGATAGAGCTCAAAAATTTACTCGCCAAATGGAGCAATTTACTCGCATTTGGCGAGTGGCGAGTGTTAATTTCGGACCCTGGGCGTAGCCGTAGCGGCCCGCCACGGCTGAAATCCCACCGCCATGCCTACAAGATCCCAACTTTTTTTTTTTTGCGCTGTTTCCCGAAGAAGCAGCAGGAACTACTATGTTGTCGCTTGTGATCACAGCCGGCAGGCAGCAAGGAGGAGCAGGCAGGGCAAGGTGCAGTTACAGCATAAGTTACTGAGTTTAAAATTAGAAAGGTAGCAGTGGATATAATGCTTTTTGATTTACATGTTTCAATAGCATTAAGATAAACGAGTGTTGACGATCTTGACAGGGTTTCCTCCCCTCACCAGGCTAAGCATCACTTATTCATGTAAAAAAAAAATTTTTTTCATGTCTGACTTTAACCACATCTAATACTGTATTACGGCGTGAGCGCAACAGCGACAACTTAAGATCGATGCGTGAGCAGCGTGAGAGGTCGGGAGTTTCATCTGAACCCTTAAAACCTCCAGCAGGCTACGCTGCACTGTTGACGTGTTAGCGCGTGGCGCTAACAACTTAGCGACATTACATGTCTCGAAGAAAGCGTAAAAACACGTTGGACGCTTCTTCTGAAGCGGGAAAATAACGCCTCTTCTTAAGCAGAGCACGACGCCACCTCGGCTCGTTCACCCTCTGCCGAGCCGGTGTCGGTACAAGATCTGCTCGGGTGCAAGATCGGCTCGGGGTCCGTCGGCTGCCGATGAGGTCAAAGTAGTTGATTGGCTGAACATGAACCTTACGGAATTACGTAATCACGTTACATTGTTATCATGTTACGTTGGTCCAGGCAAATCTTTCTGTTGGAAAGATGGACAGCTTTTACAAAGAAATCCATCATTACCTCTTTGAAAATACACTTTTAGCATAGAGCTGCATGTATATTAGGGCTGAACGATTAACTGCATGTGCAATTAAATTGCGATGTGACAAAAGGAGATTTTCTAATCGCAAAGGCTGCAATTTGGCAGCGAGATGTTAGCGCAATGCTAATATACGTGGAAAAACCCATAGGAATGCTAATGCTAATATCACCAATTACATTATTACAAATTATGAATTAGAAACGTGCCAAATGATTACATTTGGAGTCTAATAGAAAGTAAAACTACCATCAATCAAATAAGTACAGACAGGTATTTTAGTAAAGCCAGAAAACTATTAACTCCAGAGTTTTGGCTAGCAGCTATGAGCGTAACTGAACTACGCATGGACAAGACGTCAAAAACTCTAAACACAAAATACTTCAATAAACGGGACACACTTTTTTCTTGCAAATACAATTTCACAGGTGTTGCTAATACCTATGATCCTTCAAGGGATGTGCTCAAAGAGGAGTTCAACATTATGAATACAATATAGTGTTTTATTTTACAAATACCATTATAAACACAAACTTACGTCTTAAGAAATATTACTTTAATAACGAAACTGCTAAATTCATTCCAACAATATAGATGTGTAGTGTATTTTGTCAGAGTGGGTTTGCTGTACTTTGACGTCATCGGCAGTCGACGGACCCAGAGCCGATCTTGCACCGACACCGGACTGAGCTCGATAACATTGACCCAGCACAGCCACTGGGTCGTTGGAGCTGCCCCGTGACTGCCTGATGGAAAACCAGCGGGTTTCATCAGACTCGTAAAGTTTCTTGTTTTTGCTGGGGACCCCCTGTATTTTACCGCTCCCTCCTGCAGTCTTCCCCTATTAACATTTAAAATGATTCTGTAAACTCCGTGTATCAATAGAAAAAAATCTGTCTCTGCCAGCTGCAGTAAATGTAGTCTCCAAATAATAAATAAGAGGTGCATTCATCTGTGTATCTCCTTTAATCCGCATTAGTGATATTCTCAGCACCAGAACAGGGAAGCAAAGAAACAGATTCCTGAGTTTGTTATAATTTTATTTATTAGGTGCATCTAACCTGTTCTATTTTTCTCTGAAATGAGATCAAATCAGCGCTTCTATGGGGTTGGCTCCACTCTGCACTAGGGATGCACCGATGGATCGGCATTTGATCGTAATCGGCCGATAGCGCCCCTATCGGTTTTGATCGGAATTTTCAAAATAGATCAAAGCAAACCGATCAGGTAGGGTTGTCACGGTAACCAGTGTAGCGCTTAACCCCGGTAAAAAAAAAAAAAAGTTGACAATAATAACCGTCTTGTTTTTAAAAAACTATATTATCTTGGTGGGTTTACTGTGGCTGCGGTGTAGGCGCGGTGACCCTTACCAGCCACCGTATCATCTGCAGAAGTTGCCGGCGGCACATACACGCTTTGTTTACAACAAAACTTTCTTGAAGCTAAAGCTGAAATAATGGTCAAAGGAGGAGACGGCAGCGCTCAGGAGGACATTTATTATCCCTCAAAGAAGACAAAGTCGGAAGTACGGGCATATTTTAGATATTTGAAGAATGCCGAGGGAGTTTATAGAAGACGGCTATCCTGTTTGCAGCACGAGCAGAAAAAGTGTCTGTGAAAGGCAGCAACGCTTCTTATCTCATGACACATCTGCGTGACCATCACCCACAACTCTACAGTCAACGCAAGGCAAGCTAACGTTAGCGTTTTAGCTAATATGCGTGATCCGAGGATTTGGGTTGAGGGAGAATGCAACGAGTCGCTATATAAAGCAGCCGCAGCGCCGCTACCTGCATATAAACTGTCGCGGACACCCCCATGCTGAAATGACGCTATGCATTACGGGGCTCCCAGGGGCAGATAAGAGTTGGTCTCTCTCCGAGAATAATTATAAATTTAACAATGATTACTGCCTGATGACATTTTCCCACATCTGCAAAGCTCACTGGAAGGACACAAACCGAGGACAATATTTTCCTGATATACGGATTGCTCAAGTAAGGGTAAAAAAAAAGTATCTGATTAGAAGGCTACTTGAGTACTGAGTATCATCTGATCTAATATTTTTAAATGATGACATCAAACAGACATAAAATGAGAGGTTATGGGCAAATATTGGTATTTTAAAGACTAAAGGGGAAAAATGTAAACAAATAAACAACTTAATTACAAAATAACACATTTTAGGCTAAATTTAGACACAAACTGAGGACAATATTTCCTGACATACAGGGTTTATTTAACTGTGTGAAAATGTAGCACGTTTAAAAAAAATACCGCGATAATACCAAAAACCTTGGTTATTTTGGTCACAATAACCGTGAGGGTAAATTTTCACACCGTGACAACCCTAATACGGACCATTTTAGATTAGGTTACATTTCCTTTATTCCCAGATTATGTAGTTTGTAGCACTCATTATAATGTTGTAGAAAATTTCTGGCCAATCCACGTGATCGGTATCGGTGATCGGCAGCAAAAAACCTGATTGGTGCATCCCTACTCTGCACTAGAAATTTTTACTTTATTTAGAGACGTGTCATAATTGAGGGGTTCTACGACTCTAGAAGGTGCTATATCACATGCAGGCCATTGACCACTACAAGGTCACTGTGTGGTTTGAGGGCTTTCGTGAGAGGACCACACCAGGTACGGGTGAAGCTTTACTTACATTTGTCACAATCAAAAAAATAAACTAACTTCCTGAAACAAAGGGGCTAATTACACAGTTCCACCTGTCTACACCTTTATGAATCTCACCATGATGTTTTCAATTCAATAAACAACATAACCCTGATGACCTGGGGATGGCACCTGGCCAGAAGACAACATGAATCAACACTGGGTTGTAGCTGCGCTCGGGGAACCCACTTCTACTGCACCAGTCCCACCACTCACCTAACTCCTAAACAGCTCAGCAGAATTTACCCCAGACGGCAAATCTGGCGACAGCTACATGACTCTGGGCCGACCACTGTAAGGTGCATTTGCCTCAGCGAGGACAGGCGTGGAGCCTAAATTATACGTCTCCGTCTGAGTCGAAACGGGGACACACAACGCCAATATCCGTCCTTGCGAGGGCCTTCCAGCAGGCTCGCAAGGACGGCCAGAGCCGAGCTCTCTTTTCTAAACATCTGTCAGACCAGACGGAGAACGCAAGCTTGTGATTGGTCAGGATGCCGCCATTGCACAATCAACAAAACATAAAGGAGAGGAGAATGAAAGAAATAAAGAGAGCCGAGGATAACTAGCAGCAGACACGGAGCAGCTTGAAGAATACCTTGTAGAAAAACTCTAAAAATATGAACGTTTTATTCACCTGTGACTGGAGGAGTGAAAAGATGCGCAGCAAGCGTTTTACTCGTGGACACAGATGATGGGAAACGTGGGTTAAGAGGTGGCGAGCTCATGAGGAGTTGGAGGAGGATGAGGGACAAATTTGTCCGTGTTAAAAAGTCTCTGAAATACAAAAACTATATAAAATATATTAAACGCACTAACTTGGACCGGATACACGACAGAACAGCACTACGCCCTCTGCTGTCCTGGCAGGGAATTGCTTTGCCACACTCCCCGGGACACGGAGAAGTCCAAGAGCAGTGTCTCCGCCCTGAGTGGTTCTCCCACAGGGAGCTGATGGAGAAGTACAAAGTTAGGCTTTATGTCGAAAAGAGCATATTGTGGGAAGACGCATGAGTACGGAGGCAGCTTTTTAATAAATTAGTATGATTGGCATGTTTGTGCTTCCTTACAAAATGATGGTTTACGGCAGATCAATGAAATAAGTCAGGGGTGGGGAACCCTGGTCCACCAAGGGCCACTATCCAGCATATTTTAGTTTCAACCCTGCTTCAACACACCTGATTTAAATCGGCAGGTGATTAACAGGCTCCTGCAGAGCCTGATGAGCTTCTGAACAGGTGAATCAACCACTGAATCAGAAGTGTTAGAGCAAAGACATGCAGGACACCGGCTCTCGGGGACCAGGGTTCCCCACGCCAGAAATAAATCAATGTTAATTAAATCTTTTATTTGACGTAATAGCAACAAATCTTTAAAAGGTTAGTAATCTTGAGTCACATTGCTGCTTTGTTTAAAACCAACAGCAAACTAGTTGAAGCAAGCACAAGAGATAACATAAACACACCACAACATTCGTCTCAAACACGTTTCATCGTATTTCTAGTCAGAAACTAAACTTTTTCAGGAGAAACACAGAATAGAAACATGTTCACGTTCTGAAGCTATTCTAATTAGTCTCACAGCTCATAATTCCTATCGTTAACCTCCACAAGTTGCGCTTGTTTCGACGGGGATGCACATTTCGGCACAGAACCAGAGCGCGTGAGCGCATCTTTGTTCCGGGTCACGTTAGCTCCTCGGCTAAACGCACACCTAGCTTTTACTTATGTGCTACAGTATTTATTTAGCTTGCAATCGCACTTGAAGTGAAACTTTCCACGGAAATTGCATTCAGAATGTTATGAACACCATTAACCGAAGAGTTAAAGCGCACTGTCGAACCAGTTTCTAATCAAAAGTAGCATTAGGTTGCGTTTGGTACAGCTAATGTTTGGCTAATTGTAGGCTATGTTGACCAATACTGAAAGTGAACTTCACTCCGAAATTTGTATCCTTTAGAAAACAAAGTCTACACGACCAAACCAGCAAGAACAGATCACACGATGTGTAAAATATGGTTAAACCCAACATGGTACAATTCAAACTATGTTTCTTCAATACCTATTTCCGTTACCTGAATGTTTCAACTGTTCTCTCTGGTCGTAAGCAAGAGGACACGATTAGCAGGATAGCCTTAGCCGCCAGCTAACTTACGCATACATTTTCCGGTTTGAGCTTTTCAAAATAAAACGACATTGCTGACGCGTAGCTGATAACTGAATGAAACGGTTTTTCACCGCGGTGAAGTTAGCTTGAAGTTGGATGTTGGATATTCAACAGACATTGGTTTACACGGTCAGCGATACGTCTTCATGCCGTGCACTGCGGCACAGACAGCGCTAAACTGAGTTCCGAGGACTCGCTAATGGGAACGGTGGTTCGCTTAGGGACTATCAACAAATTTGTAGTCCTTGTAAACGAGGACAAAAAAACAATTAAAAACTTCCAGAATAATTTGCTAAATGACTCAAAATTACTTCTGACTTGTGTTACTTAACTACATTTGCAAGACACAACAGTTTTCACACATTTCACACAATCTGATCTTTTTTACTAGGATTTTATTCCAAAATTAAGGGATTTTTTTTCAACAGCTCCTAGGTAAATCAGTCTAAATACCAAAAACCATTTGTTAACTGTGTTACTAAGCTAGATCAATGAGACACAGCAGTTTTTAACACTTTTCATACGATCTGATCATTTTTATTTGGATTTTTATTAATAATAAAATGATATCTTTCAATAGCTCCTAGATTAATTGATGTTAATACTCAAAACCATTTCTCAATTACGTTACTAAGCTACACCAATGAGACACAGCAGTTTTTATCACATTTCACAAGATCCAACATATTTTATTAAGATTTGTATCAAAAATTAAGAGATTCTTTTCAACAGATCCTATGTTAATTGCTCTAAACACCCGAAACCATTTCTCATCAATGTTACTAAACTAGACCAATGAGACACAGCCGTTTTTAATCACATTTCACAAGATCTGGTCTTTTTTTATCAGGATTTTCATGAAAAATTATGTTATTTCTTTCAATACCTCTTAGGTTAATTGAGTTTAATACCCAAAACCATTTTTCAGTGATGCTACTATGCCAGACCAATGAGACACAGCAGTTTTTATAACATTTCACAAGATCCAACCTTTCTTTTTAGGATTTTTATCAAAAATTAAGTAATTTTCGCCAATAGCATAGGTAAATCTGTCAAAAAACTCAAAACCATTTCTCAATGATGTCATTAATGGAGACCACTGAGACACAGCAGTTTTATCACATTTCACAAGAGCTGATCATTTTTATTAGGATTTTTATCAAAAATTAAGTGATTTCTTTCAATAGCTCCTAGGTTAATTGATTTTAATACTCAAAACCATTTCTCAATGATGTCACTAATGGAGACCAATGACACTCTAAAAAGACCACCAGGGGGCGGATGCTGCTCAAGAACTGCAAGGACCCCAAACTCACCTCGCCCAATGTGCTGACCAGAGCCTTGGTGGCTGTGATGTTTGTCTTTGTGAAATACTAAAACATAAACCCCATCATGGCACATGATTAGATTAGAGAGAATTTGGCCTTGTCGCTTACGGATGAACATGTTCACCTGAAACAATCAATCAATCAATCAAAGCTTTATTTATAAAGCGCCTTCCGCAACCCTGTCAGGAAGCCCAAAGCGCTGAACATGATTCAGTTGAAGGTAAATATATTGAATAAATCAAAAATAAAAGCAATTCAAATTACAAAATACAAATTACAAAATAGGTGAAACATTCTAGTACAGGACAAATGTGTAAAACAATGGATAGAGTGAACCAATGAAAACTGTGAAATAAATTCAACATAAAAGAGGGCCAAAATCAAACATGTTCTGGAAACGCCAAGCGGAGGAGGTGTGTTTTTAGGCGACTCTTAAAGACTGGCAGAGATGGGGACAGCCTAACTGAGGGTGGCAACTGGTTCCAGAGTGACGGTGCGAGGACTGAGAAAGCCCGGTCCCCGCGAGTACGACACCTAGAACGAGGGACAGCAAGCAGGCCTTGGTCAGAGGAGCGCAGAGCGTGTGATGGGGAATGTCTGTTCAGGAGTGTGGCCAGATAGGGGGGACCACCACCCTTGAAGAAATGATAAACAAAGACGAGGATTTTGAATTGTGAGCGATAGCAAACCGGAAGCCAGTGCAGGGAGGCCAGAACCGGACTGATGTGGTCCCGTTTCCTGGTCCCAGTCAGGAACCTGGCTGTGCTGTTCTGCACAACCTGTAGGCGACGCAGTGATGACTGACACAAGCCTGCATAGAGAGAGTTGCAGTAGTCAAGCCTAGAAATTACAAAGGCATGCAGTACCCGCTCCAGGTGGGCTCTTGACAGCATGGGCTTGATTTTTGCAAGGCGTCTCAGGTGAAAGAAACTGGACCGGATCACAGAATTGATGTGAGCATCAAATTTAAGTCCAGCATCAAGTTTCACCCCCAAACTGGTAACAACTGGTTTTGAGTAGGGAGAAAGAGGGCCAAGATCAACATAACGACCCACATTCCTGCTGTTGGGGTGAAAAACAATCAGTGCATTTACATGCAGCCAGTAACCCTTTTAAAACCCGAATATTCACAATAACCCGGTTCCGCAGGTCCTTGTAAACACCGCCAAAAACCCGGATATGCTCATAACCGGGTTTTTAAAAACCCGGTTACTACACCTGGGGTAACCCTTTTCTAACCCGAATGTTTGGTCGTGTAAACGCATATCGGGATATCCCCATCAAAGCGTGTGTTCTGCGCATGCTCTGTTTGCAAGGAATCTTGGTCTTTTGAGTAGCAAGACGTCTTGTATGCGCCAGAACACCGGAAGTAAACAACAAGTTGGGAGCAAAATGGCGAGTCGCGGCACGGCACCACACTTTTGGAGTGACGAAGAAACTAAAGCACAAAAAAACGCGGTCGCTATCTTTTCCGAACTGGGAAACATGTTTTCACGGATACCGGAACAAGAAGAACCGGAAATGAGGCATATTGCGTCTGGACGTAGTCCATACGTCTTGACGCTACCCCAACGTCCACATTTAAATTGGGTTATGCAAGTTAGGGGTAACTCTTTCTATTCATGCTTGTAAACAGGTTATTCTGATCAACTCAGAAACCCGAATACCGACCTTAACCCGATCATAACCCGGATATTGGCTGCATGCAAACGTAGTCAGTGAGCTCTGTCTTTCCCTCATTCAGATGTAGAACGTTGGCCATTAGCCAAGACTTCACCTCGTTAAGACAGGACACAATGGACTGGATAGAGTGACCTTTCTCCTGACACAATGGAGAGTAAATCTGGCAATCTTCAGCATAAAGATGGAATGATAGGCCATGTTTACGAAAGATTGACCCCAGAGGTAGCAGATAAATGGCAAACAAAAGAGGACCAATGATCGATCCCTGTGGGACCCCCCAGCGGAGCCCCTCCCAAGATGAAAAAACATCACCCAGTTTAACGCAGAATGTCCTGTTGTGGAGATACGATCTAAACCAATCCAGAGCAGACCCTTTGATCCCAACCCATCGTTCCAAGCGATCGAGTAGAATCGCGTGGTCAACTGTGTCGAAGGCTGCCGTCAGATCTAACAACAGAAGCACCACATATGTACCCTGATCTAGTGAAAGATAGATGTCATTTAAGACCCTCAGTAGAGCCGACTCTCTGCTATGGCCAGACCTGAACCCTGATTGGAAAACCTCAAACAGATCAGAGCCAGCTAAATGTGAGACCAGCTGCTGATAAACGACTTTCTCAAGCAGTTTCGATGTAAAAGGCAGGGTAGAGATAGGCCTGTAATTTTCTATCACAGAGACATCAGCACCAGGTTTCTTCAGGGTCGGCCGAATAACTGCTGCTTTCAAAGCAGCTGGGACAACACCTGTGCTGAGGCTCCCATTGATAATCTGACCTAGTGATGGGCCAAGACACGGAAAGGCAGCCTTCCAGAGACGAGGCGGCAGAACGTCAAGTGGAGAGCCAGATAACTTCTGCCTCGCAACAAGCTTACTCAGCTCAGAATATGAAACAGTATTGAGGGAGCTCAGGGTGGGTGGTGATGGAGGAACTGGAACAGGGTCAATTGAGCTACCAGAAGCTGCTCTAATGCCTGACACTTTATCAACAAAGAATCTGTGAAAATCTTCAGTTTCTAGCAGCTGTAGGAGACATGAAGCTAGGCTCCTGATACACCAGAACAGAGTTTAGTGTTTTGTAGAGAATCTTGGGATTCTTGGAGTTTGTTTAGATGATTTCTGCAAAATAGACCGTTCTGGCAGCCCTCACAGCATCCTGATAAGCAACCAGAGATGCTCTGAACAACTCACGTGAGACCTGTAGGCCATCCTTTTTCCACTTTCTCTCAGAGGCTCTACACGCCCGCCTACAGGCCCGTGTGACATCAGAGAGCCATGGCTCCCTCCGAGGCCGAGATTTGCAAAGCTTGAGAGGGGCAACCACGTCCAGGACCTGATTACAAAGTAAATCAAAGTGTTGTGAACAGTGTTCAGTGTTAGATGGATCTGGGTTAAAGGTCTCTAACCTTACAGACATACAGTCCACAAACTTTGAAATAGTTTCTGCATCCAGGGCTCTGAACCTAGTAGCTGGAGCTTCACACACAGGGACAGGACATGGCAACGTAACATCACAGAGTATAGGAGAGTGGTCAGAGAACACAGGAGGCAAAGTCACCAGGTTCATGACGGGTAGACCATAAGAGAGAACCAGGTCCAGGGTGTGACCCCTGGCATGAGTTGGGGATGTTACCCATTGAGTCAAATTGAATGAATCTAGCAAATTCAAAAAGCCTTTAGCAAGCACATTGTCAGGACAGCAGATATGGATGTTAAAATCACCAAAAAATAGGACATAGTCATATTTTAGGATGCAGTCTGCCACAAGATCACAGAAATCATTAAGGAAGTTAGAGTCAGTCTTTGGAGGCCGATAAATCAGCACAACGAGCAGGCGGGGGGAGAAGCACAGTTCAAATAAGCACAGTTCAAAGGAAGAAAATGACATGGTGGGTGTAAGCTGTTTACAAGGAAAGCTGGATTTAAAAACAACAACCAGCCCTCCACCTCTGCCCCGTGACCTGGGGATATTAAAACAGGAGCAGCCAGGTGGTACCAGCTCCAGCAGGGCGCTTGAGTCACCGAACGGGATCCATGACTCACAGATGCAGAGAAAGCCCAAGTCATGCTGAATAAAGAAGTCACGAAGTATAAAAGTTTTGATCAGCACAGACCTGGCATTGACTAGACCAAACCGGGTCTGCGGCGGGGCTGCA